TTTTTTTTTTTTTTTTTCCAGGATTTTCCATGTTTTTTTTAAACAGGTGGAAGAAACTGTTTCTACTGGAAAATTGACTGTAAAGTTTTCTTTGTTTTGGTGAATATTTAGCCTGAATCCAGTCATTACCTGGAGGTGGGTTCAATATCTATAAACCATAAACCATATTGATTATGTTAAAGGAAAGGTCATCAAAAGTATCAAAGTTAGAGACATGTTTGATTATTATTCTTTACTCCTCAAAGATTCTCCCTTGTTTCTGTTTTTGTACTGAGGTCTGAGGTAAAACCAACCCAGCTCCACTAAAGCCTTATTCCTGCTGCCAAACAGACATGAGCGTCATCAGTCAGATAGCAGACAGAGAGAACACCAATTAATTATTTATTGAAAAGCAACTAATTCAATTTAAAAATATTTTTGACTTTAAAATTCTGATTATTATGTTGAAAGCTAATAAAGTTACCAGAAGATGTTCAAAGTGTTTTACTGTAGAGGAAAATATCATTTTCTGTATATTTTTGCATCTTTGAAACGAAATGTCAGACTGTTTATGGCGTTAAAGTGTGGATAGATAAAAAAAACAAAGACAAAAATGTGAGAGATTATAAATAAAGTCCAAACTGAATATAATGGCTGAAATGTGAGACGGTTTGTTTTGGGACTTTGTGAGCAGATTGATTGGAATGAAATGAAATCTCATAGATTTTTTAAGACGTGTTTTTTGGAACAGATAATAAAATATTTATCATCCTTTCTGTCGATGTAGAAATTTTGCAATGAAAAAATTAAATATTTCTATTACATCTACTTAATAAATGATATAAATGAAAGCGTCGCTGTGTTTATGCTCGTAAAGATTTGTCCTTGCAGAAGAAGGTGACCTCTGCTGTCACCCACCTGCGCCTCCATTGGTGAATCCGCTCAGACGGAGTTTGTATCCGTCGGACTCTGGGCCGATGGAGAACACGGTGTAACGAGCGTAGGCTTTTTTCCCTTCAAAGTCCTCCATGTCGATCAGCAGCTCTGACTTCTTCCTGTGAGTCAGCTGGAAGATGTTCTCCAGACCTAAAAACATCAGAGACACGGAGAAGCTGACCTCTCAGAGCTTTCTGGGCTCCTCTTTACCGCGGCGCTGGTTTCACGTCTCACCAAGCCAGTACTCTCCTGCAGCAATCCCAAAGCCAAACTTGTAGTGGTTCCAGGGTCTGTAGAAGTTCACGGTTCCATCCATCCTCCTCTGGAAAACCTGGAAGAAGGTGAAGAAGATCAATCCGTTAAAAACAGCCCAGATTTGCTCATGATGAGCTCCACTGCATTTTGGATCCAGATGTTCATCAACAGCTGGATTTCTGCCATTTCTCTGCAGGTTTCAGTAGATAAACATCCAATCAAGGTCGCGTTTTAGGAATAAGGTCTTTAAATAAGACTGATTAATATAAGGTACATATTAAATGCTTTAAAGTTATAATTTTAAGTAAATGAAGTTAGATTATTTTATCCAATGACCTAATAAAGTATTTAATTTCACTTGGAAGTTCATTCTCTGTTCAGGATGTTATGAAAACATGATATTCACCTGATGATACATTAAAGTGTTTCAATCTGTCTAGTTTTTTATAAACACAGAGTAGATAAAGGAGCAAACTGCCAAACATGGACATTTAAATAAACCTGTTTTTTCTTAATTAAGTGCATTTTTTTCTTGAATTGAGGTGGTAAGTGTGATGCTTTGTCAATTGAACAAAACAATTTACATTAAAAATAAGAAAAAATAATGTAATTGTCTTTTTTAAGTGCATATCATCTAATAATCTTATTTTAAGAGTAAAAATAATCATTCCATCTGCAAATCATCTTATTTACCTGCTCAGATTAAGTGTAAATATACTTAACTTGTACTTATTTATCGCTTGTTTTTGCAGTGCAGTAGATCTTTCTCTAATGCAGCAGTTTAAATCATACGACTTTGAATCAGATTATTTCAATACACTGGAAAAACGATCTAGAAATAAGTAAAAAATTATCAAATTAAGTGTATTTACCCTTTCTTTGAGCAGGTAAATGAGATAATTTGCCAATGGAATGAGTATTTTTACTCTTAAAATAAGATATTTTGATAAAATGCACTTGAAATAAGACAATGCAATTGCGTTTTCTTGTTTTAAATGTAAATTGTCTTGTTCCATTGGCAAAATTTCTCTTTACCTTCTCAATTCAAGAACAAATGCACTTATTTTAAGAAAAAATGACTCATCTAGGTTTTTATTTTTTCCAGTGTATTTTCAAAGATTCTCAGTAGAAAAATCTAAAAGCAGTTGAAGGAAAGAATCCTTACCGTCCACTTTCCCCCCAGAGACTCCATGTCGCAGTAAACCTGCAGACAGAGGGCAGCAGAACGGTCAAACCTGCAGCATGGATGCAGCTGCAGGTACGTCTGCACGCCGCTGATGTTTCACACCAGCAGCCTGAATGACCTCTGAGCTGCATCATCAATCAGCCAGAAACCCGCCCACATCAGAGAGTCTTCGCTAATTCAGTGTTTGCAAAGATTTTATTTGTTAAAACGTGTAAACATGGAGGATAATGAGTGTTTGAAATGTTTTTATGAACTAATTATTTGATGATTCCAGGAGGGCTGAGTCTACCTGGACAGCAGATGTGGATCCGATGGGGTAGATGGTGTAAACGCCACTGGCTCGGCTGGTATCTTGGTTGTAGATGTCGTTGCAGTCCAGAGGGTAGCTGAGGTCTGTGCAGCTGGTCGCCACAGGAACCAGGAGGAGAAGCGAAAGCAACTGGTTTCCATTAGGAAAGGAACAGTTTAATTCATTTAATCCCGTAGAGAGAGAACTTTACTGACATTTTCTGATCGTTAAAACCACAATCAGGACCAAAGCAGAGTCTGGGATCTTTTAGGGAAATAAGCAACATTTCAACATAAGAATATAATCCTGTTAAAAGTTCTCCATTGGGACAGTTTTGTGTTTTAAATGTTTCACAGAAACTTAAATTACATTTCCAGACCCAAAGCTGCTGAATGTTGTTTAATCTCCAAACTTACCTTCATGTTCACTGATCTGCAGAAAGGATCTGAAATGACGAGTCTCTTACCTGCTTTAAATATCCAGCAGTTACTCAACCCTGCAGATGAAAGAGCATCATTTCCAGATACTTTTCCTTTTCTTGTGTAACTGATGCGGTAAAAACCAAACGTTGGTACAAATGTTGGGAAATTCTAGAGAAGATGGTTATGTGAAATAGTGGGGCTGAATGTTACCAAAGCCTCTGTTAGATGAAAAAAAATGTTTTTATTCAACTGTTTACATAAAACTAAAGAAAGAAAAACCAACATTAAAGAGAAGGGGGGAGGGGGACTCAGATTCCAGCTTTAAAAAAACCTCCAATGCAGCAATAGAGTT